TACCTTTATGATAGAAGCTCTAATTCATTTACCATATAAGAGCTTGTATGAAGTTGCCGAAATTGTAACTACTCTTGGTGAAAAATTGGATATGTTAGGAGATAGTGTGAAAGAAGAGCTTAAAAATCAAATCAAAAATGAGGAAAAGGAGTTGAAATATGTCAGAAAATACATTACACTATCATGCTGTTTATGTTTCTTGATTCAATTTAAAAACACACTCCAAGTTAGATATAATTTGACAAATTCAAAGATGGAAGAGTATTCTGCAGATTCAAAGTCCTTCATCAAAAAGATTATTACATCCTCCTCTATCAGGGATGTTTCTCTTGTGGAATTTAATTTAATAATTCCTAAATTAGTTAAAACTATCTCAAGTCAAGACTATGAAGATGAAACAATAGCTGAATTGTATCAATGGTCAAAAAAAATTATCAAGAGCCACATGCACGATGGTTTTAATGTTACAGTGGGAAAAGCAAAAAGAGGAAAAAGAAAAACTTCTACAACCAAAAAAACCACCAAAAAGAAACCAGCACCAAAAAAGAGGAAGAAGGCTGAGGAAGAGGAAGAATATTCTGGAGAAGATACTGAAGAAGACAATCCACCAAATGAGGAAGAAGAGAAAACACCCCACGAAAGTGCCTCTGAAGAGGAAGTTGAACCAATACAGACCAGGAAAAGAACAAAGAGAAAATAAAAAAGTTTATTGACCTGGTTGTACAAAAATATATTCCTTGGAGTATTTTAGCTTTGGAGTGACATTAGGGGTTAACTGCTTTCTCTCCTGTTCTGAATAACCATCACATCCAGGATTACTACAAGTAAAAATGCATACACAACCGAATTGCATTCCTTCCTCCACACCCTTCTTTACGTATTTATCTACCTGTAATTGATAAATTAGAGTAGGTAAAATCTCAAGTTCAAAAACTCTAGGAGCGCCACACTTGTCACATTTTGGAATGTAATCTGAAGGATTTGGCTCTAAATCATGTTCGTGATCCAATTCGTCCTCATCATCACTGTGTTCAGAATCTTTTAAAGCTACTCTTTGTGCCTTTTCTTCCATTAGTTTTTTCTTAATCTGTACATATTTTGAAAGTAGATCTGTAGGTGCATCAGAAACCCATAATGGTTTACCACCGTATTGCCATCTTATTGACTGGTTAGGGCATTTTGCAAGAATAGTTTGAAAGTGTACAAAAGCAAGACTAATCTTTTGAGACTCAGGAATTTCAACTCCTTGGTTTGTTTCAGCATGTGTTTCATCATCTGTTTCTTCACTATGCTCTCCTTCTACTTTATCACCTTCTTCGGTTTCCTTGAAATTAATTCCTTGAATCTTTTCGCTCATAAATTTCTTTGCAAATGCCTCAGCTTCAACACCTTCGTTCACTTCTTCATTTTTCAATTCCTTTAATAATTTCATTTCTTGGGAATCCTCTGGAAATTCTTCATCTTCTGGTTCCTCATAAATATCCAAAGCAAAACATGGTAAATTTCCTTCTGAAACTGCCAAAGAAACCTTCTTCTTCTTTTTCTTAGTAGTTTCCTTTTTGGTTACTTTTTGCAAAGAAGAAGCTTGATTTGCAAGTAAATTATCTAACTCCTTGTCATCAACTGTTTGATTCCAATCCGTAACTTGTTCGGTATTAACTTCTAATTTAACTTGATCTTTTGGCTTGTTTTTTTGCTTTTCGACCCTCTTTTCATCTACTTTGAATTGTGTTCTTAAACAGGTCCATGCATTGCTCTTTTCACTACAACTTGCATTATTACAACCAAACACATATAAAAAACGATCATAGCCAGCAATAGGAACATAGCATTGGGTGACCAGGAATAATTTAGATGAACAAATCCCACACTTTAATTTTGGAAGTTGTGGAACAAGGTTTGCGATATCCTTATCACTTCTTCCCTTCAATTCCATAATATCAAGTTCACTCTCCGAGATCCAAGCAGGATTTCCTCCTAGTTTGTTAAAATATGGATCATTATCATCAGGAGTATTTTCACCAACTCTTTGTTCTGGTTCTCCAATCCAAGGATATTCTTCAAAATAATTACTTTCAAGACCAAATTCTTTTAAATCTTGCTCCGAAGATGAAGAGCCTATGCTTAACATTTTTTTTAAAACTTATTTTAATTCAACAAGTATTGCTACCAACCGAGATTTGATGCATAATAAGAATATTATTTATTATTATTGTATTACATTTCTTGCTTGGTCATACTATCGGCAATACTATTATTAAATCTGATAGAATCTAATCTCTCCAGTTCTCCTTGAAAATAGTTGGCCAAGTGGATCTTTACAAACTCCAAAATCTCTAAAACATTGTACTGGGTGAGTGTAGTATCTTTCCTTTCTTTACCTTTCCACAAATAAATAGGCATTTTGATGTTTTCGACACCATACTCTTTCATCATTATCAACAATTCCTCTATTATCATTTGTGTCTTTGGAAGAATGTTAATGTTCAAATCCATTAAAAATGTTCTCCTTCCCTTTGCATTAGGAGATTTTGGACAGATCACAAGTGACTTCTTAATGTATTTAATATGCTTTCCAAGGGAGTTTACAATTCGTTCCACTCTTTCAACTGTAAAATCATCAAATGGTATTTCGAAAGTGAATACGTCGGTTGTCTTAATGTCTTCATCACTCCATGATTTAGAAAGTTTTTGAGGTGATTCATTTGGCTTATATCTCAAAACTAAACCATCAGGAGTGCTCACATAACCTGTTGGTATTATTCTCGATCCAGTGGTATTTGCAGCCAACCTATGAGCTTTCACAAAGCTGTCTTGAGCTTTTTGTTTCTTAACCCTCATATCTTTACTTTCATACCATTGCCCCAGTTTTTTACAAAGATAGACAGTATTCTCAAATTGTCTTTTTTGAATAGAGATACTAATAGAGCTTCTCGAAACGATACTCCTAGCACTTGCAATGCTTCCAACTACAGAACTGTTGGTACTATGATTTTTCATTGGTGAGTCAATCATAATTGGTGAATAATTCTCCACTGGTCTACCTTTGATTTCCTTTTGTGGACTTTCAATAGATTCTCTTATTGAGTCTGATTTGGAATCTGCAGATTCAACCTCAATCACCTCTTGTTCTTTGGCCATTACATCTCCAAATTGGTTAATAAATGAATCCTCTGCATCACCTAGCAATTGATTGGTCTTTTCAGGAGAGTTTTTTGGTCTTGGTGTCATTTCAGAATCAGAAGATAGATAAGGAGGTTCATTTTGTGCTTCTTTTGTTGGTGACTCCATTTCTTTAACAGGTGAGGATGTTACAGGATTTTCAGACAAAGTCTCATGAATAGCAAAACTTAATATAAAATGATTGATTTTTCCCTTGATTTTGTCATCGTCATCCATGAACTCAGAATGAAGATCAGAGTAAATATCAGATCCCTCAGCTTCAACTTCTTGAGAGCTGAATATATCTTTCAATGTTGATGTATTTAGTAATCCTTTTCCTAGAGCTTTGAATTCTGAGTAAATGTTAATTCCCTTCTCATCAACGGCTCTAATATCTGAAAAATATTCTGGTTCTGCATAGCTCAAATGCTTCAATAAAGCTCCTCTTAATGTTGACATCCATAGAGGAAAAGCAGTCAGTTCTGTATTGACTTGTTTTCTTGAATGAGGGCTTTGCAAAAACAGAATAGCCAACACAATAGAGAGTTCAACTTTGAGTAATTTGTGAGCTATCATGGTAGAATTTTGTTTTTGCTTGCTATTAGTTTTGTTTTGTTCTAATGATGATTTCAATAAAACAGAGAGTGTTTGAAAATGACCAACAATAAGTCTTGAAACTTTTTCTTCGTAAGGTGAGGTTTGCAAAAGGTATCTTAAAGCTCTTACAGCTAGAGAAGCAGGTCTAACTGTACATTGTTTCAAAACTCTGATAAATGATTTCCAATATCCTTTTGAAATAAACTCTCTATGTACATCTAAGAATAATTCCTTTCTTCCATCAGAATTTTCTGCAATTTTCGAACTGAACAAGGTTTCCAGCAACTTACAAACTGCCTCAAGAACATCCCTTGAAGAGTCTTTAGTTAATCTGTCATTCAATACTTTACAAAGAGTTGGAACAGAAACAAACTGGGTTGCCTTTGGATCACTCTTAAATATAATTTCAATAATTTCTGCCGATAATGCTCTAACCTCTTGACTTGAATCGATATTTAAAACCTTGATACACACTTGAAGAGTATTTTCTTTCAACAATTCATCTGGGTAATGATTACTGAACTCTCTCAAAATTGCACAACAATAGCTCCTTACCAATGCATTCGAGTCACTTTCCAAGCATTTCAAAAGTTGACTAACTCCCTTTTGAAGAAGTAATGCAAGTCTTCCAACTTCGTTACGAACAACAAAGAAAAACAAACATTCGGCCACTGCTAAACGAACTTCTTCATTTCCACTATTTGGAATACCTTCTTCCCTATCTTTTTCAAACAAAAATTCCATTAGCACATCTATACCATGCTCATCAGCAATAGCTTCAGCACACATCTTTGAAAGTGCTTTTAACTTTTGGTCATCCACGGTCTGTTCATACATATTCCTTGATTCATACGAACATATACTAACGAACTTGCTCATACATTTTAAAGCATAAATTTTCAAATGATTTAACAATTGATCCGTTTCGATTGCAATTTGAAGTTGATAACCTCCTTCCTTAGAAGATTCAATATAAGCATTGGATTTTGTGAACTGAGGAACACTAACAAAATCCAATAGGAGAGAGATGAAGGTATATTCCTCTTCCTTCTCTAAAGCATTATCAAATACTAATGCCTTCAATCTTTCTGGCTCAGGGTCTGATGACAGAAGAGTAACTGCTAATTGGAAACATTCCAATGCTTGATCAATACTTTCCATCGATAAATCCTTAGAGGCTTGATTAAGAAACCTTCTAATGTTTGATAAACAATCATAAAGACACTCGCAAATATTTTTCATGCAATCAGCTTCTTCCTCAATGGAAGGAGCAGGCTCAGAGCCGTAAAAACCTTTCTTTCTTGACTTTGATATATTTTCATCATTAAAGTCTTTCATTATTAAATATCGGTTAAAATAAAGGTTTGCTTTTGTTATTTTTTTTAAGGATGAATTTCGTAACGTTTTTGCAAGCTTCTACTGTAGGTGAAGAATGTTGTACTGAATATTGATTTAAATTTTATTTAAAAAAAATGTTAAACTCATCATCTTTGCTAGCACACAGCCGCTCATATATTCGTACCCTCTCACAAGTGGGACGTAATACCATCAACAAAAACGGATTTAATATTAATTCTATTATGATGAACCAAGAACAATTTAGAGGAATTAAAAGTAATCCAAAAGCTGGAAAGAGTCAAAAGGGTCAATCACTCTTTACTCGTCAAAAACCTAGTGTTACATTCTTGGAGGAAATTGCAGAACCTTATATTCCAAAACTTTACAGTACCAATAATCCATCATCAGGAATTAAAGAAACCTTCTCAAGACTGTGGTTTCAATTTTTGAAGGTTTTAAGTCACAACAGATCTCTTTTCCGTATTTTCAGAAGATTGGGAAGTCAATTTGGAGTTAAAGGCAATGCTAATTTTCAAAAGGAAGTTTTTGAACATTTTCTAGAGTATAAAAAAGGAATTGCAAATAACGACCTCAAGAAATTGAACAAAGTTTGTACATCAAGAGTCTTAACTCAACTAAAGAGAGATAGTAGACATAATTCAGAAAAATATCAAATTGAATTAACTACAAATTCTAAACCAAAGGTTGTTCACTCTTTCATTTTGGATGTTAATCAAAACAAAGAAATAGCACAAGTAACTGTTAAAATGGATTTGAATGAGAAATTATTCAGCAAACAGGATATAGCTGGTGGAAAACAACAATTGAACCTTGAGTCTGATGAAAACAAAGTATATTATGTAGTATTTGAGAAACCATTAGATGATTTCAGCAAACAATGGATGATTGCTGGTTTTGTTGATCCTGCCAAAAAGTATATCGAACCAACAACAAAAGAAATCATGTATGGCGGAAGTGCACAAAAATTAACAAATGCAAATGAAATATAAACCCAAAGGGCAGAAGAAATTCTTGTTTACAATTAATTTAATAAATTCCAAATGTAGGGATGTTGGTTTAAGCTTTAGTTGTCAATACCATACTTTTCCATTTCTTCAAGTCTCTTTTCACGAAGTTCTTTAGCTTGTTCTTTTTGTTTTGTGGTCATAGGGATTAAAGTAGCTGGGTGAATGGCAAGTGTTGGTTGTAAAAAGTGTCTGTAGAAAGCCCATAATGAAATGGCCCATCCTAAGAAATAAACGGTGTGCAAGAGAACATCTTTTGATGATAATGTAGTGTATGTATCCTTATAGGCCCATTGTTTTTGACCAGCTCCGTCTTCCCACCAAACATCATAATTATCATCAAAACCACTATTATTAATATTATATTGTTGTGGTCCACTGTATGGCAATTCATATTCTGGTTGTTTTCTAGACAAATCAACGGTAGTACGCTTTAAGTGTCCTGGTGCAGGATCCATTGGAGAACGTTCTGATGATGATGATGCAAAACGTCTTTGAAGAATTGGCAAAAGATAATTCTTTTGGAGGTTGTTGTTCTTCAAAAGAGAACAAAGGATTTGCTTGTTCATTTTTTTAAATATTTAATTTATTTTTTTATTTTTCAAAAATTTCTTCCTCTTGCTGTTGTTTCAATAGCTCTTCTTGAATTATTGCTAATTGTGATATCAAGGATTGATATTCTGTATCCGAGAGATTGTTTTCATTTTCATTTAGAAAACGAGATTCATTCATTCCCTCTCTTGTTTTCAGA